TGTATGTTTCTAAATATAAATTTAATCTAAACAAACGTTGATATTAAAATAAATATATAATAACAAATTCGTTACAGTTGATTCTACTCTTACTAAACGCTGCATTTTCTTATCGCAGCTGTGATACAACTTGTTGCAGGTCTCATTCTGGATGGTCCTGATGTCCAAAGCTTACCCATATTTCTTTGTTTTCTAATGTCATTAAATATAAGATATATCTCTGTCTTTGAAACTCCGTGAGTTGACTGTATGAATAGCTTGGACCAGAAAGGATGGTTGAATACCTTTCCTAAAAGTGATTCATTTTCGATGGCATTATAGTGCCTACGGAATGTCAAACAGTGTTAAATGTAGTTCTGATAAATTACACCGCGATTATAGATCTTCTGTAACAACATATTACTTGCTGATTTGCACATTCAAAATCATTTTAATATAACTTACTCAAACCTCTGTATCTATGGTGTATTGTTTTTTAAAGCAATGTTGTGAAATAAGCCAAATAAAATATTGGTAGTTATAAAAAATGCATGAAAGATACTTTATCTGAAGAGATGAACTATCTTTTAGTTAAATACTTTATTTTTCTTTTGTCTTCCTCTGGCTCAGCAGTATGTTTATGTGCTGACAATGCTGAAATCAGAGGTATGATGTCCTGCGGTGTACAGAGTGCGGATATTCCACTGTGTAGCTTTACGCTGAAAAACAGTTTATTATTTTCTTTCAAACATTTCGTGTTTAGTTGTTATGTTATTTCAATTATGTCAATAGAGGGTCGCTAGCTGGTACATTTCTGTTCATTCTTCTCGGAAATGCAAATACAACAGTACTCCATCTCATAATGTTTGTGCCTATTCGTCCGCGAGTTTTTTGTTTGTTTGTTGTTGTTTTTGCGAAATTAATTTTATGGTTGTTTGAGTCACAAGTTTTATTAACTTTCAAGTATTAGACTGTTTTCAAATTGAGCTTAATATGACAAAATTCTAAGTTCACGAGGCATTCCTTTAATAATATATTTGCATTTAACTCTGCGCAGCTTGCGATTAAGTTTCATGCCGATTGGAAAGTTTAGTGTTTAAACTAAATGTTATGTTCTACGCTAATCTTAATTTATATAGCTAGTTTTTTTTTTTTACGAAGGTATTATTCAGAGATGATGTGGGTAAACTTCTCAGAATATGATCCTGCGACCTGCGAAACATTAGTCTGTAGGAGTTAGAAAGATATCTAACAAAATAGAAAAATATGTCCTTGAGATGAGCTTTAAACATTTTTTACATTTATCATATTTGATACTTTATGATAATTTTTAGGCAGAAACAAGTAATCTCTGAAACTGTAGTAGGGAGATGACTTATATATTCATGCAAAGTACCAACATGCTTTATACACTCCACCATTATAGTCTTGTTCTTTCAATTCGTCCTTTGTTCATTATTGATGAGTGAAGGAATTCCCCGAAACCGATATAATTCAGAGATAAGTGATGAATCAAATGATAAATTTGGTTTCATATTTATTTTTAGTATTTCAAATTAATAATATCAACAACTCTTATGTATTTTTACTGGAAAATGGAAAACAAAGGTACGCTAGTATAATAACAATCGAAAGCTTATTGATATCATCCCTCAATAGTTGGATTACTGTTACATTATACCCCCCCAATAGTTGGATTACTGTTACATTATACCCCCCCCATAGTTGGATTATTGTTACATTATACCCCCCCGCCCAATAGTTGGATTACTGTTACATTATACCCCCCAATAGTTGGATTACTGTTACATTATACTCCCCTCTCCACGGCTAAAATGAATTCGTAACACACATTATGAGTCGATCTTCTAACCACCAAGCCATGTCAACCCGTGTTTATTGAGATAAGAATATATTCACGGAGGATCATACGCTGGAGATTTTAAACCAGCATAAATACTGAGTTTTATATAGTTTCCGCTCAATATATTCATCTAATAATCATTAGTTAGTGTGATCTTCTTTTTCATGTAATGCAAGTTATTTTTTAATTCACAAAGTAGAAAGAGACGAAAACAATGGTACAGTGGAGAGAGAGAGATAATTGCTTAAAAAAATAACTTCAATGGAAGCTATATATTCCAAATTTTAATCAAAGGCTTTATGAAATGAAAACGGAGATGGTATGGAAAATATGCGGTATATTGTGAATTTCTTTCAACAAATAGTTAACTCTTGCTAACTAGCGAGAAAAACAAATTCGTCTTCGATCTCTTTAAAACAACATCAAAAAAGTAGCCAAATTCTTATACTTGTCACAGAAATAAAAAAATTCATTTTTTACCGTCATCAGCATGTAAGAACATTGCAAATATATTTTGACGCATTAATTAACTAATCTTTATTAATTATTTGTTAGAAGACACAAGTTGCAGGAACATATTATAGCATTTTATTGCGTTGTTTGATACATTACAGAAAACGCTGAGACATGTTCTTTTTGTGTATGTGTTTGTTAGTCGAAAGAACGACCCGGCAAAAATATTCTTTAAAAATGAGTTACAAGAAAAGTTTGATTAAAGATAATGCCATATTGGAAAAAAAAGTTATTAGTTTGATTTTTTTCTCTTTGCGAATATTTTAGGCTTGGGTATTATTAAATGTCTTTTGTAGCAAAGAATGAACGATCAAAACAGCAACTGTGAGTTTATTTTAAAGGAATTATTCTAAAAATAATCAAAATTTTAAAAATTTTGTGTGTGTTCAAATTATTTGAAACATTTTGAATGTCATTACTAGCTTATTAAAAAAACTACAACTTCACTTTGTTTTTGTTTTGAGATGGGGGGGGGGGATCAGGTGGTGCGAACAAACCCACCTTAGTAAACACAAATAATCATTAAATACACCATCTGCCATAATATTAACTTTTAAGTTATCAGCAAAACAAATATACTTTGGTCACCAGCAACGTACATGTGTGGGGAAGTACATCAAATATCCTTTGGTCACCAGTAACGTACATGTGTGGGGAAGTACATCAAATATCCTTTGGTCACCAGTAACGTACATGTGTGGGGAAGTACATGATGCTAAACAATAGAAAACTGACAAAGAACGATTTATGCGCATAAAGAAAACTATTTTATGCAGAGAACCTATTATATGCTTCAACAGAACATTGGCCTATATTCTTCTGGTACCATAATGTATTAAGTCGTACTGAAGGCCAGCAATCACTATTTTCAGTGTACTGATCAGACAAACATACTGTAAAATCACGTTAGGTTAGGATTAATCCTATGTATTTTCATTTCCATTGGAGCAACTAAGTGAGCTTTAGAAGGCTGTATCTATTTGTTCTCACTTACAGAATAATTATTGAAAATGGATTTGCGTATGTATAATTGTGACGTACACATAAGTTTCAATTAAGTAATGAGTGCACTGTGCCTGGTTTATTCACTGGCGACTTTAGGAGATTTTGGGCACTAGAAAAGAAATCCACACGGGTCCTGTTTTACAACGCCCCATGCCTTAATAGAATTTACATTGTTATGTTGTTTAATGTGGTTCAATCACTTTTCTCTCATTTCAAATACATACATGACAGAAATTATGAGTTCTCGCATACAGGCATTATTAACGTGTGTGTGTTTACCATAGATATTATAACCAAATATTGTAAAAGTATTACAACGGATTTTTAATAAATCTTCCTTCCAACAGTATTATCAGGCATATTGGAGACATCATCTGATTCCCCAATACTTACATTACGTGGTGGTAGAAATAATTATCGCCATTAGTCATGGTGAATTGGCTATCGGCGAGTTTGTGCCAAGATAGGTTTTTTTTGGTTGAATCCCCCTATCATCGGTAGGCCCTAGGCATTGTCTAGGCTTAGAGCCACTACTGAATGTATTTTTTAAGAGTTGCATGGATATTTACTTCAGTACAACTTGTTCATCATGGGGTTTTCGTCAGCACACGTACATCTATGAAAAATGCACCACGAATAGAAAAGACCCCCCCCCCCACCACCATCACCAAGAAAATTCTGACAACGCCCATGTGTATAATATGTATTGTAACATACAACGTGGCTTTAGTTATAGCCTTTATTAAGTAAGGTTTGTATCACACTGAATTATCAACTTTTGTCTTAATAGTTAGTTATTTGTTATTCAAAGATTAATATTGCCCATATGCGATTGAGAAAAAGGCCACTTGTTTTGTTTCCAACTGTGAATTATAAGTTATTATCCATTTACTAGGGATTCCTTGTGAGGTGTTAATACATGAATCACAGTTTTATTTACGAATGTTGGAAATGAAGTGAAAAATTATTCGTTCCGTTTGGTTATATGAGGAAAATAAAAAATAAAATAACATATAGTAAAACATTGTAAAGGAGAATTATGCTAACTATATACGAATTCAACTATGAAAGTTAAAATCCCAATAAAGAAATTGCAAATACATCTTATAAATATCGTTAAATACAGAGTACGGATTTTAGAAATAAATATGGCACAACTATTTCGAAAAATTGAAGCACGCGTTACTAAGAAAATCATTATCAGCTATAATTCTCACAAAAAGCCACGTAAAACAAAACACAGCAAATTTAAATTGCACTGTCACTGTTTCTTCTTAGTTTTTAGGCTTTAGTGTCCTGGTGCAACCATGTAAACGTATTTTGAATACTTAAAGCTCCGAACGCAAGAATTCACTTTATGATCACGTGAGTCGATGACGTAACGCACAATATGGCCACAACTACAAAACTAATACTACTACCGTGTGACAACACTGAAACTTTGCTGTTAAACATGACGTGTTGGGTTTGAGGCAAGGGAAAGAGTTCATTTTTTCCTGGATAATCTGCAAACGCCCTACACTGAATCAAAGGAGTTTGATAAGATGTGGGCCTTTTGTCCGGAGTGGCGGGAACATTCTCGGTATTAATTTCTCCTAAGTATAGTAAAGAGTTGCCATGGTGATCAATGTCTGTCCGAACCACGTCAAATTCTGTACTTGGTACAGTTAATCCTATTCCACTACAGCCTCCAGATAATGTCACGTCCTGTGTAATATTTAAACGCCATGAGTCCACAAGACCGCATTGATCTTCTTGTCCGTTTAGGTTATTTACAAAGAGTTGGTCTAGTGGTGCTATTGATGCCTTCTCAACAATGAAGTCGTAATTCGTATTTCCTCTGAAACGCTGTGATGGTCTTCCTGCACGAAACTCTCCCTCTGCTACCAAAACAAACAAGGGATTCCGACAGTTCGGGTCTTTGAAGTATTTATAGACGCCATGCCAGCTTTGGTTAAAGTTGAAAAATTTCATTCGCCTGGTCACAAACATTCCAAGTGGTCTGACCTCACACCGCGTACTGATCCATTCACCTGCCATATAAACAGGCAATCTGGCACGGGCTGGTAGTTGGGGAGGAGAGAAATCGTTAGATTTAGTCATTAGATGGCAGATGTGGCATCCGCGATGCTAGAAAAAAATCGTTTTAATTAATTCATTTAATTAATAAAGAGAGAGATCAAATTCAATGAGTTTACACAATACATGTAAATTACGACATTATATTTTTTTCTAGAGATGGAACATTAAAAATGAAAGTGTCTACAAACCAAAATTAAGTAATTGCTTTCTTCGTGTAATTTTTTACTCATATTATAAAACGAAATAAAACAAAACTGGTAACAGTAGTAGTAAATATAAATTAATAACCACATATATCAGTCAAGAGCAGTACAGCCTCAGTATAAATAGCTAAACTATATGATGTATATATATATAGAAATCTTAATTCCAGCTTTAGTTAACATATTTTCAATGTTTACGGTTTGGACTGTTTGTTTGTAATTAAGCACAAAGCTACACAATGGACTATCTGTGCTCTGCCCACCACGGGTATCGAAACCCGGATTCTAGCGATGTTAGTCAGCAGACATACAGCTATGTCACTGGGGGCTACGGTTTGGAAAAACTATATTATTATGACAGTGGAAGTCACGTGACGCTGATGAGTTTCTCGAACGATCGGGGAAGTCTGAGTGTGATCGAGATGCCCTCTTCGTTAGTATATAAGCCTGGCATAGAAAGCCAGCGGTTAATGAATGAAGAGAGAGCGGTAGTTACTTTGAGTTCCGTGTAATTTATGATTCTGTTATGTTCGAGCTAGTGAGCCGTAAAGTGTGTGTTTTGCACTCGTCGAGAGCGAAATTATTGAGATTATGAATCGCTGTGATTTATGGCGTGTATTATAAGAGTTGTTAAGTTTAAAGTGAAGAGAAACGTACTGATCGTGGAACTTCTGTATACTAAAAAGTTGTATCGAGGAAGAATATACTGGTTTAATCGAGAAAGCGCTTGTATAGCTGAAGATCCTCGGAAATAATTTATACCGGAAAGAAACAAACAAGCAGATACGTAATGATATATTTAGAAATGAATTCACTAGTACTGATAATAGTACAAAACTAAGAATATTCAGTTAAAATACTATGAAAACACTAATAACTATTAAAGTTATCAAAAACTAACAAAAACACCCAGAACTACCAAGAAATTATACAAACAATGAAACTACCAAGATACTATAACATCATTAACAACCATCAACAAACTATAATAATAAAAACTTTCAATGGACTACGCTAGTGCTCGGACGAGAAGTGTATCATGAAAGTTCCCTTACAAAAATATATGTGACAGAATTGCGTGATAATTGTCTCTTACATGGATAGGTATTCCAAAATACTCTTGATACGATAGCGGGGTTCCGAAAACGTGTCACAAGGCCGCCATCTTCGAGTGGTCAATGCTCCATATGCGTAGTGTCTCTCTGCATGTATTACATAGTGATGTGCCTGTCTACAAAAATTGTTTGAGGTCGCTTCTTGCATTTAAGGCTTTGATTGACCATATAGTACGATATTCTCTTCTATTTTGAATTATCTGACTTCTGTTTTGTTTTAAATTTACTGTAAATTATATTATATGTTATTCTGAAAGGTGAATATATTATTTACAAATTGTATTTTGATAAGCATACTCACAAACGTTTGGCCTCAGCCAAATCAGTATATTATAATAATAACAATCCGAAACCATAACAACTGGGTTCTATAACTAACAACCATATTTTCACTTATATTTTTTTAATGAACAAATTAACTGGACAGTATTTTTTGTAAAATAGATTAAATTATTTATTTTATACAAAATATGCTTACTCTTTTTTTTCAGTACTTCAGCGTTATTTTATTATATTCAAGATGTATCTTTGAGTCCCAGGATTGATTGAACTTTGTGTGGGGTCATGAGAATACATATATTGTATGAAGTATCGAATTTTGTGCACCCTATGATATTTACTGAATTCTAAGTAACATTTATACAAGATCCTGGTATGATTATGTAGGATCAGACTTTATAAAGGACCTTGTCTAATATTTCAATTAGGAAAGACACACAATAAGTAAAATGAACAACATTAGCAGTAATCCATAAACGACAATCAAATTCACGCACAACGGGGAATGACATCAAAAGAAAGTACAATTAGTTAAAGGAATATATTATATATTTGCTATATTATAAAATACAACACATTATTACATTACTGATATTAACATGATGTATGCTTAACTTTAGAAATCAAACTAGATACAGCGGTACAATACATTTGTCAACACATAGACAAGTCTTAATTCCAATACCAAAATATGAAGTTCTTGCCTTAGCACAGGTCTACATGCAATATTTTCAGCTTTATTTCTTCACGACTTGCATGGCCTCACATACATACCAAATTTTTACCATATTCATGAAACTAAACTGTCAATACGTAAATCAAAAATAGATGCAGAGATACGACAATATCATTAAGTCGATTAAATATAGGAAAGCAGAAAAAAGGTGTTACTTGTTCTTAGTTTATTCAATTTCTTTGAACATTGGGATTACAATACCCATTACTGTATATTTTTTATTAACAAACGTATGTTTTGTATCTTTAGTATATTGTACAGGTCTATATTTTACAGTAAGATGATACACTGTTATTAACGTTTTTATTATTATTGATTTAAATCATGTTACAATTAGAAAATATGCATACCATGTCCATAATACAGGTCTGACTTAAGTTGTGGAAGTTTT